ATAATCAAACTGTAGTACATAATAAACCAGTAGTACTAATACATAATCAAACTGTAGTACATAATAAACCAGTAGTACTAATACATAATCAAACTGTAGTACATAATAAATCAGTAGTACTAATACATAATCAAACTGTGGTACATAATAAACTAGTAGTACTAATACATAATCAAACTGTAGTACATAATAAACCAGTAGTACTAATACATAATCAAAATGTAGTACATAATAAACCAGTAGTACTAATACATAGTCAAACTGTAGTACATATTAAACTAGTAGTACTAATACATTGTCAAACTGTAGTACATAATAAATCAGTAGTACTAATACATAATCAAACTGTAGTACATAATAAACTAGTAGTACTAATACATAATCAAACTGTAGTACATAATAAACTAGTAGTACTAATACATAATCAAACTGTAGTACATATTAAACCAGTAGTACTAATACATTGTCAAACTGTAGTACATATTAAATCAGTAGTACTAACACATAATCAAACTGTAGTACATAACTAAACAGTAGTACTAATACATTGTCAAACTGTAGTACATATTAAACCAGTAGGATTTTGATTATGTATTAGTACTACTGGTTTATTATGTACTACAGTTTGACAATGTATTAGTAGATTATTTATTAGTACTGCTGGTTTATTATGTACTACAGTTTGATTATGCATTAGTACTATTGTTTTAATATGTGCTACAGTTTGATTATGTATTAGTACTACTGGTTTATTATGTGCTACAGTTTGATTATGTATTAGTACTATTGTTTTAATATGTGCTACAGTTTGATTATGTATCAGTACTAATGGTTTATTATGTTCTACAAACTGTAGCACATATTAAAACAATAGTACTAATACTTAATCAAACTGTAGTACATAATGAACCAGTAATAATAATACAAAATCAAACTGTAGTACATAATAAACCGGTAATACCAATACATAACCAAACTCCAATCACATTTATGCCCCCAAAATTTTATTCTGACTTTCCATCTGATAATTAATTTAAAAGTACATTATATTATCAATATTTTGCTTATAAGTTTAACGCTAAAACAGACTCAGAATTTTTGTTCACCTGTGTTGCCGCAGCATGGTTTTTGAAAGGCTTCGTGTCACCTAGTGGCTCAGCCGTAAAGTTGAAAGCTTATTACGCTTGTTCAGTCCTTGCGGTTAGAACATCGCAAACAACCATCGTGCAGTTTCGGATTTATGTAAAAACAAGTAAAGTTAGACTTAAGACAAAATTTACAACAAAATAATAGAATATTAATTTTTAATTATTTCAAGACGGTTGTTTTCTGTTGCGATCGTCATGGCTGGTGACGTTTACCGTGAAAATGAACATACAATTTTTTTGTAACAAATTAAGAAATATATGTAGGGTGTTACCGGGGTGCTAAAGAAGACACGAAACAAGTAGTTGATTTAACATGAGGAAGCACTGGTAAAGAGATTTGTTGATTACTTTATGAGGTACAACGAAGCGATACTGTAGTACGTAGGAGAATAATACATACCTAAAAGGATACACTACATATGATGTAGTACGAAAGTATGCTATAGTATAACGAAGTAACTGTAGTAGGGGAGACCGGGGCTAGTTGTTACGATTTTTAGAAAAAGTCCAATATCTAGCGAAATAACTCGAATCATACATTGAAACT